GTGTTACATATTGCTCCGATCCTCCCCCCCACCCCCCCCCCCGGGTATTATTGGACTAAAATGAAGTAAGAAGGATTTTTGGTTTCTTCAAGACCTTGTATTTTATTCTCCCGTAGCTTCCACAAGCTTTCTGCAGCTCTCTTCTTTACAACATTGGCAGTGCTCAGCAATAGGCCAAATGTTGTTAATGAGGCTGCAAGGGAGCAGAATATGACATCCTATATGAAGCATGAGAAGGCCTTCTTTTTAAGTGTAAAATGGTCCACCGTGACCAGCATGAAAATAAGGAGGCTAACTAACTTTTTTATTTCCTGGTTTTGACTTTGAAACGCAGCCTCTGTTCATCTCTGTTCTGTCAGTCCTATGGTTTTCGTGTCCACGGTTTTTGCACCTTATTAACTGTTCAAGATTAGCTACATAGACTAGCCTGGAGTGATGGTTATTTTGTTTAGCTGTTAATTTAATTTCTCTGTAAAAGATGTTCTCAGAATGCTTTTGAATTGACAAGTCATTCCATTGTCTTCCAGTGTATCTGCAAATAACAAAGTCCTTCTTGGGATTGGTGGAGGACATTATGTGCCACGACATATGGATGTGATAAAGTAAGTAATTTGGTTATTGAATTGTTTCTTTCCTCTCCTTTTCAGTTGCTTGCTTAAGATAATCCAGTATGTTTGGTACCTACGGAATATGTATGATCATTTGCATTATAACTTTGGCGTAGTTAAACTGTAAAAGGTTTCTTTCGCTGCATCTTTTTACTTTGCTTTTCAAGTTATCTATCGAGCAGATAATATAATATAACTGCTTCACTTGTTTCAGCTGCTCTTTGGAAATTATGTATTCTTTATCTTTATATACATCAACTGCGTGAAGTAATCCAAATTGTTACATAATGAAACCTAAGCTATATTCCAGCACAAGTTTTGTTAAATTTGTTTTCATTCACTCGCAGGAAGGATGGTTGTTGGGTCGGCCAACTTCTCTCTGGTTACTCCTTACCAATGGAAGATCCTGGTCCATCAAAAGGTAAAGTAAGCGCGCAAGATATTGCCGGGACTTGGAGAGACTCAATTAGAGCAGCATATGATGCTACCAAAGCAGGTTTTCCTGGTGGAGATATTCTGGCACATCTTGATCAGAAGTAAGTTCATTTGAAATAAAAGTTTGACTTTTGGTTCTAGACTATGAAAAGAATGAAAAGAAAGATGCCAATTTCCAATCAGATATATCACAAGTATCACTAGATGGTGAAAAATTGTTTTACATCAAAGGGTGACCATCTCAGTAAGTTTAACTTTTTCAAGTTGTCCACCTTCATTCTCTTTATTGAAATTGATACAGAATCACATGATAGACAACGAGAAGATGATCTTAGTATGGAAGAGCCTGCACTTTTCTAGAATGGAGTGCATAGTTACATACACTATTCATTGTCACTGTTAGATAGACTTTGTTCTTCTATACGTATTGATATCTAAATCTAGTTTTTCTTTGTCTTAACGTTGAAGAAAACAGAAGATTGTAAGCTTTTCTAATGATTTGTTATATGGAAAGAACAATAGAATCTTTCCGTAGAGTCCTTTTTCAGGATCATAAAGACCCGTCCATCCAATAATGATTCCATCATCAAGCTAAGGGGAGATTGCCCCCAATGCCCCCCAACCCTATCCAGCTGAAAATACAGTCTCTTCTTCTACTTCTTCGATGACTCTGTTGAAATCGATCTTCTCAGACCAATTTTTCAGTCTCTTGGCTCCCCACCCCAAAACTTACCCCGGCACAACGCCCATTTGCTTCGTGCGCCGGAAGCCGGAGAGTCCTTAAGAATGGGAAAGCTGATTAAAAGGCTATTCCATAACTGACTCTTGTGCTGAGTTAAGGGGGTTTGGCAGGTATCAGGCTCTGAAAGAGTTTTCTTCAAGCAAGCTGTCTTTCTATCTTTTTGGGTTGCATGGCCAAGGTAGTGCTTTTGTAGGCTTAGTGGGGCTCGAACCTACAATAATACTGTTATTAGTGGTACATTGCAACCAGTTAAACAATAAGCCCCTACGAATAATGCAATTCAGTGTGAAGGTAGTAAAATATTCTTTGCTTAGCTGTATTAAGTTCCAAATGGTTTGCTTGTTATTCATCCATAAAATTAAGATTGTGTCATCAACTAAATGGAGAGAATGTGTTGACTTTGAAATATGCCCTTGGGATGGACAGAGTGGATCATATGGCACTAACAGCATTTTCATTGTTTATCTCAGTAGATATCCTAAAGCGTTGACTGCCTCTTTTCTCCCTTTTAGTAACATAATTTTGTTATACTTGAATATTGTTGCAGGAGTTTCAAGGGCTGGCAAAAGAATGCGATTACTGAATTCTTAGTTGCACAGGACATTAAAATTGGCAAGCCTGGTGATTTCCGCTGATTGTGAACAACTTTAGCAGTTCTTTTAGGTCCTTATTACTGGGTGAAGTTATTAAGGTCAACAACTTCCATACTTTTTGATTAGATGTACTTGTAGAGAAGGTTGAAGCAATAGATTCCAAATCATAATACAAGCATATCGTACACTAGAAAAGAACCTTGTACATCATAAGGGAAAAAAGAAGGGAAACAATATTTGAATCAATATAGGCAAGTATAATGATCTTTTCACTTCTGTATTAAACTGAACTTCCGATGTTGTGCTTTTGGTTTTATGATTAGTTCTTCCTATTGGACTTATTAAAGAATCCTGACGACATTCTCCATCCAGTTGGACGTTTCCACTATGTTATTCTGATTGACATGTTTTCTTAATATCTAGTTTATTCTTTTTTTTTTTTTGGAGGGGGGGGGGGGGGGTTTGGTATATGGGATTATCAAGTTTCGGATCTCTGCTATATCTTGGTTGGACTAAGTACAAGCATATCAATTGAATCTCATGTTCTGAGGTGGAGATCTATCAGCATTACGAAAACAAAAGAGAAATATCAAGAGAGAAAGTATATCACAAATTTTCCATGGCACATAAGGCCATTACGCTATTTAGAGTGGTTCCCTTCAGTTTAGCTTTTGTATTACAAGTTAAGTGTCTCTTTAGGCTGTGACACATTCATTTAACATTAATTAAAGGGTTTATTTGACTACATTGCCCTTTATCTCTCCTAAAACATTTAGAAAGTTGTTCACACAATAATTATAGCAAGGGTATGCCTGGAAAATAAATAATTAATGCTTTCTTGATTTTGTAAATGACACTTATTTTGGACTAATTTTTTAAAGGCTAAATGGATACATTAAATGGATCGGAGGGAGCATTTTTTTTTTTTTGAGCAAACAGGAATAATATATATTAATAACTAGTTGTTGCGTACATAGCCTTCATAGTTTGTGTCATTAAGGATACTTTGATTTCTTAAGCTTGCTAGGACATTACAAGCATCATAAGATAAAGACTTAATACAAACATAGAGTTCATTCTTGTCACTTTCTACTAGAGAGTTTACATAGCATGGTGGTAATACAAAAACTTGCTTTCCTTTCTGCCTTGCCTTCTTTGCCAAGTGATGTGCAATCCTATTCCCTTGCCTGAAGGTGTGCTGGAGGATCACCTTCTGTTGGTGCATGAACAACCTGCATTTATCAATAATGTTATTATATAACCTGTTCCCTTGATGTAGTGAATGAATGACCTCCGTAGAGTCCGTCTCTATTTCCAGCGGGAACATGCCCCATTCCTGTGCTATTTTTAACCCTTCCATGAGAGCTTTTATTTCTGCATGTAGTGATCCTGTAGCCTGGGTAGTCTTAGCAAATCCAACTATCCAATTCCCATAGGTATCTCTGATTATTCCTCCAATGCCAGTTTCTTCATTGTGATTTTTGAAGCTAGCATCGATATTTAGTTTAAACCACCCTTTAGGTGGCTTGTTCTATTTAATTTGGATGGGAATTTTTGTACAAGTGTTAGGGCCTTTTTCAGTGAGAAAAGTGAATTCGATTGCTTTTTGGATGATATGGGTAATGTTGATAGGAAAGTCCGTGTTGTTATGGTTGTTGTTATTTCTATTGATCCAAATCTGCCAAATTGCAAAAGGAAAGAAGAAGTTCCAGTTTAGAAGGTTATTGGAGAGGGTGAAGTCTATGCTTTTTAATCGAAGGAGACACTTCTCAAAAATTTTTAGCCGCCCGACAGTGAAGGAAAATGTGGCTTATAGTCTCTTCTCTGTGGCACTTGCAAATGGGGTATAAAGGGTCAACATTCATGCCAATTTGTGATAGGTATTTCCGGCATGAGAGTCTATTATGGAGACATTGCCACAGGAAGAATTTAATTTTATTAGGGTAATTTAGGCTCCAGATCCAGGCGAAATCGAGTTTATTGTGTGAAGGAGGATCTATTAAGGCATAACACGATTTGGAGGTGAAAAAACCTTTTGTGGTTAAGGACCATATGGGGACATCATTGTTAGGTCCTTTCTTACGAATTTTAGTATTAATGATATTATCTTTGATATTGTTAGGAAGGTCTAGGCTTAACTTATCAAAATACCAAGATTTTTTGTCCCAAATATCTCTTATTTTTATTGAAAGGTCAGTTATGGATAGAGGACCCGTTACTTCCCTTCGAAGGCTTCCATATTAGTAATCCAATTAGTTTCCCAAATATTCATACTGCTGAGATAGTGAGGGGACCGAGTGATACCTTTAGAGCATATATCTCAGCCTTTTTGGATACTTTTCCAGATGAAGGATTTTATATTACTAGTTTTGTTTAGACAGTAGGAGGATATGATTAGTCGGGCCCAAGGGGATATAGAATTGGTTAGGAGTCTCCATGCAAGACTTGCTAATGTACATAGATTCTTTGATTTGACACTGTGAATGCCTAAGCCACCATTATTTTTAGGTTGACACACAGTAGACCAATTTATAAGGTGAATTTTCCTTTTTTCAATAGTGCTACCCCATATAAAGTCCCTCTGAGTTTTGTCAATCTTATTGAGGGTATTTTTTGGGAGAAGGGTGTACTGCATATAGTGATTGGGAATAGAGTTAAGGCATGAGTTAGCTAGGGTAGTTCTGCCTGCCATGTTTATGAATTTTAATTTCCACAAAGCTAGCTTAGATCTCATTTTGTCAATAATAAATTAGAAATCTCTAGGTCTTGGACAATTATTAAGAATTGGGAAACCTAGGTAAGAACCGAAGTTATCACAACTCTTTATTCCTAGTGTAATAGAAGTAGATTTGATGAGGGGAGGGGTGCAACTTTTAGAAAATAGAATTTTTGATTTGGCGTTGTTAATACATTGCCCGGAGAGGCTACAAAAAAGGTCTAGGCCATTTTTAATAGCATGGCATGACTTGTTATTGACCTTGGCCATTAGAGTAAGATCGACAGCAAAAAAAAGGTGTGAAAAACTTGGGTTGTTCTTCCCTAGGTAATTGGATCCCAATTTCTAGTGTCAACTTGGTGATTGATATATCTAGTTAGCATTTCTAGGCATAGAATGAAAATATAAGGTGAAATGGGATCACCTCGCCTGATGCCACGACTAGGCTCAAAGAACCTTGTGACAGAACCATTTATTAGAATAGCTATACTACTTGTTGAGATGCAATAAAGTAAAAGCTTACAGAATTTGGGGGGGGGGGGATTGAAATATTTCAGAGTGTGGTGAACAAATGACCATTCCAAACGGTCAAAGGCCTTTTCTAGGTCAATTTTTAGAATCATTTGGCCTTGTTTACCCTTTATTTTATTAAATTTTGAAACTATTTCTTGTATGATGACTGCATTATCAGCAGCTCTTATGTTCTTCATAAAGCTAGCTTGGTAGGGGTTTATTAAGAGATCCAGGAAAGGCTTTAGTCTATTAGAAAGAATTTTTGTGATAATTTTGTAGATGATGTTACATAAACCAATTGGTCGGAAATTCTTTATATTATTGGCATTAGAAATTTTTGGTATAAGGCACAGGCAGGTCTTGTTGATCTCTTTTGGGACTTCTTGAGTATTGAATATGTTATGACAAAGATTTGTTACAGATTGCCCTACGATTTTCCAATATTTCTGAAAGAAGAATGGATGTAGGCCATCCGGACCTGGGGCCTTAAAAGGTTTGAAAGAGTATATAGCCCTTTTGATTTCAATATCTAGTAAGGGTGCATCTAATGATATAAGGTCTATCTTTGGATATGAGGAGGTGCTACCTAGAGGGTCATTCCATTTGTTAGAGGAGTGAGAGGTTGTGAATGAATTTGTAAAGTAGTTGAGGACACGAGACATAATATGGCCATGATCATTAATCCAGTTACCATTGTCATCTTTAAAGAAATTGATCTTGTTTCTTCTTTTCCTATTAGTAGCAGTGATGTGGAAGAACCTAGTGTTTGCATCACCTTCGTTTAGCCATAAAATCCTAGACCTTAATTTCCAATAGTCTTCCTCGATTTTTAGGATATCATTATACTCCTTTTTAAGTCTTTTTCTAATTGTTGAAGAAAAATACTAGTAGTATAACTGATGGAATTTTGAAACCCTTGAAGTCTAGCCAGTACTTTTCTTTTCTTCCCCATTATGTCACCAAAAGTACTATTCTTCCAAGGCTTGATTTTGTCTATAAAATTCTGATTGCCTTTCAAATAGTCAGTCTTTAGCCAATTGTTTTCTATGATAGTTTGAAATTCTGGATGCTTGCACCAGAACGTTTCTAATCTAAAGGGTGCATTATGGTGTAGCCTATTTTTAGGAATTAATTCAAGAAGTAAGGGGTTATGGTCCGAGTGTATTTTGGGTAGATGGATTATAGAGCTTTTTGGGAATAGATCTATCCAGTCTTCATTTCCTAAAATTTTGTCTAAACGTTCCATGATGAGCCCCTTGTTTCTATGCCTAAGGTTCGACCATGTATACTTACACCCTTTGAAACCTAAATCTAATAGATTACAAGAATTTATCTTAGACCAAATAAAATTAGCTCTACTATCTTTGATAGGTCTACCACCAAATTTTTCATTTGAAGCTATGATATCATTGAAGTCACCTCCAACTATCCAAGGTCCTTTGTAAGTCTTGCTAATGTGCTCTAAGTTATCCCACATCAAATTTCTATTATGAACATTAGTGCTGGCATAAATTAAAGAAAAAGCCACTTTTTACGAATAGGAATTACCTCAATTGTTGCATGGATTTCCTGGTTTCTACGGACAATATTATGGACACTAATTATTCCGTGGTTCCATATCATCACCATGCCACCTGATTGGCCCTCCGCTGGAACCTCTATTAACTCCGTAAAGCCAAAGTCATCGAGCAACTCAGCATAGTTCACCATTCTTGTTTCGAGAAGAGTTACTAAACAAGGTCTATGGGTATCAACCATCTCCCTGAAATTCCTTCTAAAGTTGTCATTGTTTCCTCCCCTTATATTCCATATAATGATGTTGGTTGGGCGATTCATGGCTTGATTAATGGTTGAGTTTGCTGGTTCTTCGTTCTCCCTGATCCCTCCTGGAAACACATGATTCCTCCTCAGTGATGGCACTAGGATCATGGCTCTGTTGCCCACTGTTGGATCCTGAGGTGGTATGATATCCATCGAGCACTTGAAGAGTGCCAGTAGGCAACTGAGCACATGCCTCTTCTCTTGCATCTCCTTGAAGAGAAATACCTTTATCCCGTCTAGACTTGAGAACTCTAGGACTCGCTCGAAGATTGGATTGATGGGTTCTTCCTCCTCCTCCATTGCTGCTTCTACTGGACCTGG